AGTATGTTTCTTTCCTCTTTCTTTTTTTTTTTCGGCGCTTATATACCGCGCCGGGTTCGTTTGGCGAGTTTTCAGACGGCCTTAAGGAAGGCACTTCACGCACGTTAGCGGCACTCACGGCGTCGCTTTCCGAAACGATCGTGCGCTTTTAAATCGACTGACTGAAGTGCCTCGAAATGTCCCGGGTATAGCATATACTAAACTTTATTCGCATAGAAAACGGTAATTTATATGTAGTTTATTTTTTCGCGTGTTGAAATAATAGCCTGAGCGTGCTATTTTAACTGCTTAAGGTGTGCGAAAACATGGTTGCCGGCAATCTTCCTATCATTGTGTATGCAGAGATCGATAAACGTTTCTTGTAACCTGGGCTTAACGCTCATAAACATCTTTGCTTTGCGCTTTTCTTGTGATATCGGTAACCAAATATTGCTTGCTATTAGAGCGCCTGTAAAGGTTTATAGTCTTGGCTAAACTACCGACGCTGCGCAACGCATTACATTGCCAATACTATACAACTTGGAAGCCAACCATAACAGACATTGAAAAGCTATTGCCTTCGAAGGCAACATCTTGTTTTGAGAACTCTTGCGTTCAGCTTACACCTTCGCGTTAAAATGAAGATAGCAGAGCCGGTATTTTAGCTAATTATTATCCAGTGTCTGCTATGTCCTATGGTCGCCGCCATGCTTTTTTATGCTTACGGCATGTCACAGTAGGTGGGCAGCGCTTTCAGCAGGACTTCGTTATTTTTAGACCTACGCACATACAGTAGTGCAAGAACGTCAGAAATTCATAGCCACGAAGCTCTATGAACAACACCTACGCCAAAACTGATGTAAAAAGCAATAATCTTGTTTTATGACCGAGCCCCTCTCTTCAGAAAAGCCTGCGTTTGAGATTATTATTCCCCCAGTTTATCGCTGGGGGCCAGAATTTCGGACACTGATCTATATTACTTCCAAAAAAAAAATTGGGTTGTGTGTGTTTTTATACAGCCTAGAACTTGGTCTGCCTCACAGGGGCGACGAGTCTCCCAGCTGTAGATGAGAAATTTAGCCAGTGCGGTACCAGCCGCTAGCGTGGGGTCTTTAACGTGCATCACGCAGTAGTGATACACAACCGCACGCCGGTACGATGCTCATCCAGATCGAAACGGGCAGGGGTGGGGCTCGAACCCAGGATCCCTGGGTTCTGCAGCGCGAGCTTTCGCTCCACGTGCTCCGAGCTGGTGTGCGCTAGACAACTCGGCCACCGATCCCCCCTATATTACTTCCTTCGCCTAATGCACAGAGCGATACTTAAAAAAAAAAAAACACACACACACACACACAAAAACCTACATATTTACTTTATGTTTTAATTCCGTGTAGTTTGCAGTTGGAATATGGTAAATAAAAGAAGGTTGGGAAAGATCTGATGATAAAAGAACTAAGAATGAAGTGATGATACTGTCGGGTTGGTGAAGATTAAGCGTAAAACAACAAGATAAAAGTACAAGCATATTGTATGCTCGTTTCCTTTCGTTTTCTAGTGTGTAAGACATACACAGATTACTGTATAACACAACGAACATGTAATGGACGTAAAAAAATGTAACGCTGAGCAAACTCAGTCATTTTTTGGAGTAATTGTGACAAATTTACTATTTAACTCTCAAAATGGTTTGGAGAGGGTATTAACTCAGACTTGAATAGATGCAAACCTTTCATCTAGGAAAGAATAAAGTCACAGGAGAATAGATTACCCCGGCAAAGGCGAGAAATGTTTTCTAAATCGAGAGGCCGAACGCCCGCTCAGAGGATTGTTGCCAAAAGTGATGGGAAGAAATATAAATCTGCAATTGAAGACCTAACCCCGCTGAATCTGTTTACAAAACGCAAGCGATCGATAATAGTCAGCCGCCCCGAGTCAGCCGGCCGAAGCGATTTCTTATGTTGATAGCCGCCGTCGCACAGTGTGATTTGGGTTCATATACTATCCGGCACGCCAACAATCAATTTATCTGTTACGATGGATAGAAGCGTAACGGATTGTCATCCCCAAATACCTTGCCACAATGATCTGACTTCGTCGTTCACAAAGGGGTTGAGGGTCACTTGACTTCTTACAAGCATGCTGGAAGGCCTGTACAGTTGCACAAGGCGCAGACTGTATTCGCTCGAGTGACAGACCCACTACTTATGAACAAATCCCCTTCTGTCTACTTTCCCACAGAACACACAGACACATCATCATCTCGTTCTGCATAAGAAATGTAGCGAATAACGAGGTCACGGGCACGTTTCCCTGCGTGAAAATGAGATATGCGCTGATAGCATCGTCGCGTGAAGACGTTTTCTCTGTCCAGTAAATCGCTGGCATGTCGAGCGTGGAGATTGGCTGGCTATTCACTTGCTCCGTGGAAAAGCGGACCCGCATGTTAGTGCATAAACAGTGCGTCTATTACTCAAGTAAATACGGTATAAGAAATGTAATTGCAGCAATAATCACCAGGTTTTGTGAGTGACCTTGATATTGCTTCCTTACCTTCTTTTCCACAGTAACTCGATTACTTTCAAGTGTAATAACAAAAAAAAATTATGTCTAAAAATAAAAAAGTCAATCTTTCTTCCAATATAAAATATTAAAGCGTTTAATTCTTGAACATGCTTCAGCGCCAGATTAAAAGTCAAGGCCGAACCCCGCACACCAAACAAACACCCAAGAACATTCCCCGATAACGCATGGTAATCTTAATTGACCAGCCGAGTAATCCTATAAGAAGTCCCTGTTTGCTCGCTAAACACGCTATTCTATTTGCGGTTGGTGGCACCGGCGCAAGGTAAAGGCTTCCAATGATCTGCGTTTGACGCATTTGATCAGAATTTGCTCAATGCCCACGTGGATAAACAGATACGCTTAAGCTGTCACTAATCCTATAACCCGTGATAGCTTAAGAAGCCCGCGGAGCATTGCTTATCATGTTCACGCTTTTTTTTCCTTCGTAATTGGTTATTCGGCGTTCGGACCAGCAAATGTCGCAATTTCGTCGGCGGAAAAGCGATAATGAAATGCTTGGCACTCGCCACACCCTGCGTCTCTCATGGCTGTGAGTGACTGTAAAGATTTTAAGCGTGAATTCCTGACGCCTATAAATTTAAGCCATGCTACAGGTGCCCCCGGGTCCCTTGGGACTGTACAAATATAGCGGTATCACGGTGCCCTTCACTGCCAAAAGTGGCCACATATCAAATACGGTGGAGTAATTTTTGGCTTCCTCGCGGTTTGTTTGCTTTCGTTTCGCGCCCCCTTTTTGTTATCTCCTTGCGAAAAAAGGATTACGTGCTGAAAGGAGCGAGCTGTCGTGAGCAGCCGTGTTTACTGTCAAAATTGAAGCCGGCCACTTGTTTCTCCTTTTTATTATTTTTCGTGCTTTTTGTTTTGTTCTGTGTGTTTTAGCGCGCGAATAATTTTTTTTTTGTTTCTGCGTTTTCGGATGGAAATATTACGTGCTATGTTTGCGGCCATTCGTAAAAAAACCAGGATTCGATGCGTATATGAAAAACAACTCGAGATAAACTGAGAAGATTGACTCGTTTTATGTGCGTGTATGTCTGTGTGTTTACGAGAAAAGAGGGGAGGGGGAGGTTTGAAGTTTATTTTGTGCTGAACTGTTAAAAAAGGTTGGAGCTGATAATATTATATATCTATATTCTAAAGGATGGAGGAACGTGGAGGGAAAAGCCACCAGTGGAGGCGCGGTAAATGCACAGCAATCCTGTTCTTTCTTTTTCTGCGTCATCGGTTTATTTAATTATAATAAACGTTTCAATGAGTGTACTAAAACAAAGAGAGCGCGTAGCTATTGTTGAACGTTTTATTGCATTTAACTAATCAAAGCACCTTTTCTTTAAGAGATTGGTTTCTCCAAGGTATTACCAAATCCCAGCCTAACTAAATCCGCATCTGCTCAAGTAATAGCCGCACTTGTTATGAACAAGGCCCTGGCGTGTATGTACTTTCCTGCAGAACATAAGCACAACCAAACATCGCGTCCTGCATAAACAAAAAATCGGACCTAACAATGAGATTGAGAACTCGAGTCTCCGCTAAATGCGATCTGAGCAGAAAGTATTTTCGCTTGAAGACGTTATCTCTGTCCCGTAAACCGCTGCCATTTTTCTGCCAATCGCGCTGATTCGTTATCCCCGTGCTTCGCGGCAAAGCAGACCTACAGGCTCTTTTCACAAATAGAGTGGCTATTATTCGAGCAACCACAATATACAGTTTATAATAGAAAAAGAAAAAACTACGCAGCCTTTTAGCGTTTTGAGTGTTATTTAAGAAACTCCACGTGTTCCATGAATTCCTAATGACGACACACAGTGCGAGTCTAAACGGTACATTTCGGCTAATTATGAATATGTTCCGTGTCCTCGCGGTTGGGTTTTATGTTCTGCTGGGACCCTTGTATCGTTCGCAGTGATTCGCTGTATCCGTGTTCTGTCGCAGAGGGAGCTCACGGACTTTTTTTTAAGTAAAGTTTTCTTTAAGCTTGGACGTAAATTTGACATGCGTGTTGTGTTGTGGTTGTTGTTTTTACCCTTGGAGGAGGGCGTGATAAAAATATGTTTGATGCTAACTACAGTCCCAAAAAACAAATCGTTTACTTTATCTGCCCAATTGGACGAACGACGGAGCTTCCAGAGCGGTAATCGCACTGATTCAAACGGTTCATTCGGTTCAAACGGTTCATTCAGTCGCGAAACAATGGTTCTTACACCTGAGACGAGAACACCCCTTGTCCTGTGCAGACATTTCGTCAGCTTTCCACCCTTATTTATGTTTTCACAACTTCTTTTCCCGCGTGATTTTTATTTAATTATTTATTTTTTCTCGAAATTTCGAAGGCATCAAAAGAATAGCGGTTTCACACACTCACACTTCCGCGCGGAAGCAGCACAGCGGCCGCCGAATCCCGCGCGACGTCCGCCCCGAACCCCCGCGGCACAACTCACCGATGGTCTTGATCATCTCGAAGTCCTCGAGCAGGGGACTCCTGCAGTCGTCGTCGTCCTCTTTACCGTCCTCCGAGCTCGTGGCGCGGAGCTTTCCCTGCGCTACCATGGCGGCACCGTTGGAAAGCCGACCACTGGACGCCATGCACTGACACACCGACGGCGGGCAGAGTGTCACTCGAGTCACACGGCACGAGTTCTCTCCGACGTCACCATGTCACACGGCAGAAGGACACTCCACGGGATCCTCGTGGCAGCTGACAAGTCGGGGGCACTGGAAGCTCTCCGACGCCGAACGCCATGCACCGCCCCGGGCGACTGGTGGTGGCTCTTCGCTATTTTTCGAGGCGACCGCGAGGGAGAGAGACGTCGGTCATCCTCTCCCCCGTTCCCGCGACCTCTCGCGAGACTGGCGGGACTCGACCGTAGCATCGGTCGGCGGCACTGGTCGGCAGCGGCGAAGGCGGCGGCGTCTGCCTGTCGTCCTCCCGCGCGCGGAGGTACCCTATGACACCGATCAAGGTCGGCTAACGGGAAGATTCCCATCGTGTCTTTGTCTTTTTCTTCTTGCGTCGGTGGAAATGCGTCCCCGCGCGCGGAACGAGTTCTATGGGCGGTTTCAGGTATGGGAGGCCACTGAGGGGGACTTCGAACGTTCTCCAAATTGTGGAGCATTGCAATATGTGCGCTCGTAAAGGAAATTTCGGAGAAAAAAAAAAACGCACGCCAAGCGCGCGTTAAAAAAAATGTGCACAGAAGGTGAACTTAAAGAAGACACGCGGACAACAAGAAGCCTGTAAAACGTCGAAAAGCAACAAGCGGTATCAATACTAAAACAAAGATAAAGCATCCAACCCCAGTGTTTTCTTATATAATTTTTCTTTTGCGCGAGAGGTGTTCAAATTTCAAATTTACACAAACATGAAAGTAACTCTTTATCTCATCCCCCAAAATGAACGTGTGCTGTACTATTGGATGGCCTACGACAAATATTCAACTCGGACATCAACTCGACATTACAGCGCAAGTAGTGAACAAAACTAGTGACAATGGGCCAAAGTTTTATCGCCAGTATTTCCAATTAATCTCAATAGTGTTAGGGTCTTATGCGGAGAGCGCGATCCTTTCAAAATAGTGACCCTTGTGGAAGTGAACGGCACATCACTGCGAAGATGGTCAAATCACTAGAAAATTAACTCACAGATGAGTAACTTCATTTGTAGCATTTATTTATCACTCCTATTGCTCGCGGAAACGCTCCAAAATAATAACATAAAAAAAAATCAGGATCTGGGACTTCCTCCGGACAACGTAAGATGAATTGAACTGAACGTAATTTAATATTGTTAAGTTTATTGAATTGACATTGCGCAATCGCGTTTCATAATATATAGAGGAACACAAAATAGGATGTCTGAGCCAACTAAGTTTATTCTCAGGTTACTTAATCTCGTTTGGAGTTGTGGAACGAAAGAGCAGATTTTGATTCGTTTCGAGATCCCAGAACGCGTCGCCATTTTGTGACTTGATATTTCTAAAGCTCCTGAGAGATTGAATACCCGATACCGGTTAAAACGATGGATCTCGTCGATCTATCGATTTACATTCGAGCATGGATTCACGAATCTCTCTGAAGGAAATATTTCTTGTTCTAAAGGCATTAGGTGAGGTTCCGCTTTTTTGCACAAAATAGAGGGTTGCCACAGCACTTGCTAAGCTTCTTTATTCTGCAGCCAGACTTCACAGTGCTCGTTTACGCGGACGGCACAAACGACATTGCCCTCTCTTTTTTTCTTTTTTTACGAATGTCTATATTAATTCATTGCATTCAAAATTGCAGACGTACAACTTAATATAATAATTAGTTGATTTTCGGACATACACGCTACAATGTGTGCTTAAAAATGTGTAATTGTGGTCTTCCCGGTACCGACGACATGATGAAACTAGATGGGAGATCGTACCAATTTATCCCACAAGCCAAAAACCTCAAGTATTTTTGTGGTTACATACGATGTAAACAATCTTTTGAACACATTGCTTCTAGAGACACTGCTCAAATGCTCACACAGAGGTACGAAATTAAAGGAATCGGTCCTTTATCTTTTTTTTTTTAATATGAAATCTACGTCAGATGAATCCTTCAACTACGAGTAGGTATGTGCGCAAAAATGTTCTCTACTCGGAGATTTTCTTCCACGCGTCGTTGATGTTTTTAAACTACTCTAAGTGAAATCATACGTGAATTTCTACTCAAAGCATATTTTAGCCGAGGCCCTCTATTGAAAATTGTCGTTTGTATGAACAATGTCTGGGCCCAATAAACACATATAAATCATACAAGATATATAAGAACATATAAGAACCATATAAGAATTGTATAAGAACTATGGAAGGTATATAAGAACATACAAGCACTATATAAGAAACTAATGGGAAGTTTCTTATAAGTTCTTATACGGTTCTTATATATCTTATATAATTCTTATGTAGTTCTTATATAATTCTTATATGGTTCTTATATGTTCTTATGCGTTCCTATATATCTTGTATGATTCATATGTGTTTATTGGACACAAGAAATTTCTCATACAAATGATTTTTTTACTAGGGGGTCCGGCACAGGTTTTCTTCTCACAAACTTTGTTCGTGAGAAAGAAACATGTTTTTCGTGTCGCGGTGACGGTAACAACGCTATTCACAACTCGGTTATTTATAATTCCTGCTAGCGTATTTAAATCTCACTTATTAAAATATGTAGTGTATTGTACAGCACCGACTTCTCAGTTATGAACAGGCAACGTCTTTAGGAATTACGTAAGGCACTTACCCGGTCCGCAACAACAGGCCTAAACTAACCATCTCAATAATTTCCGAATGCATTTGAAGATTCCTACTAATAACACTGTCGCAGAAAAAGATATTAGGAGCGGGTATACATGCACCAGTTTTAAGTTTTCTCCTTTTCCTTCCGTCTACCGGACTGCACGCCAACATTTGAAGCCGAATTTCCCGCAGTTACCCTCACACTGCAGAATTTCCCCTAACCGTCGCCAGAGTCGTAATCCTGTCGCATATTCAGTAGGCGTGTGAATGCCTCAGTGGAGGCGCGGAAGACTTCTGCCTCAAATAATACTACGCACCAACACACATCGAGGTAGTCCGTTTGACCTGGGTACCTCGGAACATAGAGTTATTATAATGTACGCTAGAGGTTCAAGTGGCGCTAGTGTGCTGACGCAAATTGAAGCAGACAGCAACCAGTCCAAAATGGACTTCCGGTAATGCATTCCTATGGGAAAAAGTGAGTGCATTTTCTCCCTGCGCTCGATCGTAAGAGCAAATATCCCAAATAATTCGTACGTACTAGGTAGCTTAAAACATTTCTCAGTCAGGACGAAGAAAAAATTGGTCAGTTACGGCGTTTTTCTTTCAAATTCATCGCATTAAAAACTGTGCTAAAACGGCTTCGTACGTGTATTTATATGCACTGTCGGACACTGTTAGCGCGAACACGACGTCGGCGCTTTTCAGCATGAGGGATACACGTGCCAAACGTGTATCCCTCATGGAAATAAAGGGAGACGGCAAGAACTACGCAGTAACACTGGATCAGTATATACCCGTGCATGTCAAAATAAATTGAAGGCAACGTAATCTATTCCGATTTTAAATAGGTAAGTACCGCTTTATTCTTTCTGCTCTGAGCGAAGATGATATTCGTTTTAAGTTCAAAATATCACCCGCACGCTCGAAATCTTTCAGCACAAGTGCCCGATTAAAGCTGCCCGGCAGAGAAAACAATACGAAGAGACAACTTTCATAGCCCACGGACCTTATTCTCTACGGTTTGAATGTTCTTATCCGCTCATACGCACGACGGGGTCATTTTTATATGGTGACAGGACTGGCATATTATCAATATATAAGCGTCACCGGAATGCTGGCGAGCCTTGAACACATTCCATATTCCTTTCGATTGTAATTTCGCTCTGAATCGTCGCTTATTTTTACATACGTGCTGCGGAACACACGTTTGGGATTGAAATGTAGCGAAGTTAAACATCGCTCACTTATGAAGAAAAATGCGCTAACTAAAGTAATTACACTTTTACAATGTTAATCAAGGTACATACTATTCGGTACGACCAAAATAACAAAAACTGTCCATGTTATTTTCCGTCGAGGAGACGAAATGCACGCGCGTTTTCCCATAAGAATGCACAGGAGCACCGCAAAAGTAGAGTGGTTGCTGTCTGCTTCAATTTCCGTCACGGAAGTCGCATAGACACTAGCGCCGGTTGAACATCTAGCGTACATTATAATAACTCTATGCCTGGGAACGCAGGTATTTATCGAAAATCAAGGCCTGACTAATTTTCGCAGGTTACTTTGATCACTGCTCTGGTTAAAACAATCTCTCCAATATCACATGTACTCGAGCAAAATTTAGGGGGCATATTTTCTTTGATCATTGTTATCTTTGAAATAATCTCCCTCATTACACATGTAGTCAAGCAAAATTTATGGGGCATATTTTTTTAAAGCATCGTGCGCGACAACATACTCGATTTTCCGGACTTTCAACACCTGCAGATTTTTTCGAGCGATGTAAATTCTGATAGTGCGAGGTTTCAATGAAGCAGCCGAATTGACGGATGCCTCACTGGAATTTGTAGGCTAAAAAAAATGTCACATTTTGAATCTTTCATATGCGCTTAATGTACTTAAACTTTAATCAATAGACAATATATTTCTATGTTGTCGAAGGAATGCGAGTTTACACTAACGCCTGCTGTCGAGGCTTCCGTCAAAGAGCGGAGTTTTTTCTTTTTTAATATTGACAGTTGACATTAGGTTATCCTCTGTTGACAAACTACATTAGACTATGCTTACTATTTTGTATCTCTGCGATTTGGGCAAATTTGTTATTGAATCCCGTTGATGAACTTGATAATCCTGTCCGATCTCACTGACCATCTACAACTTGGGGTCCTCCAAATCAGATCACACATGCCTTAATTACCAGGATTCTTGGCCAATCCATCTTTCGGGAAGCGCCAAAAAGCCATTGAAAACGACAAGGACATCAGCTTCTTCCATCTAAAGAATTGAGTTCACTCGACAAAATGCTGCGAGACATGTCATAATATGGTAAAGGTAAGCTACACAATCATTAGTCACCTGCCAAAAACAACTATGCGCGTATTTTCATCTAAGCCAAAAACATCTATCCACATAATTCCATGCAAGCCTACTACGATTTGTTAAAAATCAAAAGCGCAATCACCAAGCTTTTGATTTTTAAAAAAATGTATAGCCAACTGGCCCAACAGTTAATTTTGAATCTTAACTGCTACAATTTGTGTCCCTTCAGTGTCGCCTCACCAGCATCTATCGGGTCCAATTTGCGCTCCTGCAGGTTGACTTTTCGATAGTCAGCTCGTCTCAGGTCCGAAGAAAAACCAGAATGCA